GATATCTTTTTAAACAGAGTCAGAAGATATAAAAACGAATAGGTATGTTTAATTTCGGTTTTTTTCGAATATCTTCGGATCGGAAATGGGACCTGATCGGAATTTCTGAATTTTTAAAACATCATTTTACTAAGCCCTAAAATACGCTTACGAATTTAACCCACTGTGTATCTTCTACGGTTTTCGATTTCCCCATGCTCTAGATTCTTATCTTGGAGTATCGCTGTATAATGTAAATACATAAATAATAAAAAATAAATAATGAACGTTTCATAATTTCAGTACCGTTTATTTTGCCGCATACAGTATAAGCAACCGCTCAAAATTTTAAATTAAAAAGGAGATCTCGTGGTGCCTGGTTTGAAAGGGATTTAATCTCTGTTTAGCAATATTATTGCAATCTAAGTAGAGCTTTGAATGTATTATCAAAATTTTAAATTTATTTCCTGTCATGATCCGTGTCATACAAGATGACGCAGGACCCCCCTGAAAATTGCTTTATAACTCAGAAAGGGTGTTAGAGGGTGTTCATACTATAAATGAAGAAAAATCGACGTATTTCAGTTTGGATCGCTCCGTATATGCATAAGTAAAACATGCACTGACTAGAGGTTACCAAAAACAACCGCGTTAATTGCTGGAATTGTCTGAAGAATCGTCACCTTGCTAGATTTTGTGATGGATCGCTTCGAAAGCACTGCTTTACCTGTGGTAAGCTTGATGTTGCAGCTCGTGAGTGTCCTCGCCGCCAATCTAGGTAAAAAACGAGCAATGGAGTTGATAACTATCATCTCTTAGATTTCCAGAGGTCAATAGAGAGAAGTGTTTGTTAGATTTTATAGTTTCCCGGGTGATGAGAGGCCGTATATCATGGTCAATTTCTAAGAAACGAAATGTTAGGGTTACTCGATTCAGATGCCACTAGAAGGTGCGATTGGGGAGAAAGGAAGGAGTGCAGAATTGCCATTACAAGTCCGAATTCTCAAATATTACTTTTGCAAATGGCCAGTCATGTGAGAGTGCGGGAGTTCTTCGAGTCCTTGGGTCAATTTCTAATACTGAGGATTGATTTCTGAATGGGAATTGTGCCGAATCTAAGGGCAAAAGAGTGGAATTTATTAGAAACCGTGAACTCTAAACAAAATTTGAATTCTGACCAGGATGTATAATACAGGCCATTTGTTCTCAAACGGGCATCTAGCGGGAAAGTTGTGGGGTAGTTTTGATTTCTTTGATTTTATATGTTTTGAAAAATATTTTGATTTCTTTGATTTTATATGCAGTTTTGTGCTTACAACTTGAAAACTATCAACTTTTCGAAAATAACCTTCCTATTCAAAATGAAAGTACATAAAATTTCCTACAGATTCCATTGTTTAGTTTTTTTCCTCGATGAACCGTTCGGGCTCAAGCGCCAGTTGAAAATTGGCGTATTTTGGCTGTATCCGCAAATACTCATATTTTATTATTATTTATTATTATTCTGTGCAAATATAACTCCGTACTTTTCATTGTCTACCGGTCTCCTCAAAAGATTTTATAACTGTTCCGTCTGATATAAAACTCTCCCACTCCTTCACAGATGAGCTGAGGCACATTACGTCACCGTGTACCTGCGTTTGCAGTCTCGAGGCCCTCCTCCCATACACATACATACACACCCTCACAAAGTTACACATATGGACGGACGGACGGACAGTCCAAAATCATGAACTCGCTTTTTGTCGCTCGTTAACATGTAAACAGAAAAGAAATAAATCGGGTTCAGTTGTTAACAGACAAATTTAAGCTCCGAAGAGTACGTCATTCTTCAGAACACCGGGGCAAGAGGGATAATGCTGTTGAATAAGAAATCAATATACCCCTTTTGCCAGTTGAATTTTTTGAATTAATAATGACCGCAGCGCAACTTTCCCAAATTCAACAATAATTATCCAAACATGCTACGGTAGGGCCTTGTGATTTCTTTATCTGGTTCGGAAGAAAGTGAGAATAGTTTTAGATAGCACAGTATAAGTATTATATATGATAAATAATATAATATGATATACTGTTTTTTGTTAGAAATTAACTTTTCATACAATTCTGGACTATAATAAACATCTTGAGCGTCATGTAAATGAGAAGAAACTACCCTTACATATATACAATTCAAATAATAGTAGGTAAATGCAAGGAATTCACTTATTGACAACGCTTAATATTAATTTAGGGTTTTAGTGCGAAAAAACTAACGAAATACGCCAATTTTCAACTGGCGCTTGAGCCCGAACGGTTCATCGAGGAAAAAAACTGTGAATTTGTAATAAATTTTATGTACTTTCATTTCGAATAGAAAGGTTATTTTCGAAAAGTTGATAGTTTTCGAGTTGTAAGCACAAAACTGCTAAAAAGTATCTTTTTCAATTTTTTTTGTATTTTTTTCAATGTTGCGTCATGAAATTTTGTTAGCAAACCTCAGATTCGGATTCAGCACCCCAAAAAACATATAGAATCAAAGAAATCAAAACTGCCCCACAACTTTCCTGGCAAAAATACAATTTAACTGGATTAGTAGGCCATGTCAGGGTGTTGAGAGTTATTTTGGCCATACGACAGCGTCTTTTAGTTGCACCGACTTGCAGGGCCGGACTGGGTGGGTAAGGGCCCCGGGCGCTCCATGACTAAAAGGCCCCGCCCCCAAACTCTTGGAGTAGCCCGATTGTGATAGTTAAAAAAGGATGGATCATGGAGATTCTATGTCGACTTTTGTCAACTCAATAAACTTACTAGGCGCGACGCCTATCCTTTGCCGCTCGTTTCGAACATCCTAAATCGTCTACGGGATGTCAGATTTCTAAGCAGTTTGGAAATAAGGTCCGTTTATTGGCAAATCCCTCTTACCGAGAATACTAGACCGTTGACATCTTTTACGGTAACGTCTTGCTAAGAAAATCTTCAAAATTTAAATGGATTGAGGCGCAGGATAACTAACTTAAGTGGTGTCTGCTCCGATTTTGTCATGTCCAGATTACAATAGGCCGTTCGCAATTCAAACCGATGCTAGTGCGTTTGGTGTAGGGGCAGTGCTAAGCCAGGAGAAAAGGAAAAAGTTATTTGATATTTATCTCGATCTCTCACCAAACGAAAGCGTAAATATTCTACGACGGAACGTGAGTGTCTAACAGTCCTTTGGAGTATTGAGAACTTACGACCGTATATTAAGGAAACCCATTTTAGAGTCTCTCTGTTGGCTGAATAACCGTAAGACCACCCGAGAGGTTGCTGGTTGGGTCGTTGGAACCTTCGTCTTCAGCAATATTCTTTTGAACTCGTCCATCGGAAGGGTAAGGAGCATTTTATCTGGGTCCGTGCCCGTTATTGATTCGTCAAATGCCGAATGGGGCGATATGAGTGAAGTAGAACCTTAGTACGTAAATTTTGATAAGCGTATCATTTCCATTCCCCCATATGAGGCTATGCCATCTAATGACGACCGTAAAATTACCTGATATAAAAGCAAATAGGCTGTTGGTAGAACAAATAAAGCTCTTTCACACGAGACCAAGTTTGCGGTTAAGCCAAACTTGAGAAATCAATATTTATCCCCCCTCCCCACTTTATTTCACAAATTAGAAAAAAGTAAAACAAAAAAGAATGGGTATTGTATCAGGACTCAAACTCGGTTACCTTTGATACCACTTTATTAGAAAAAACCCGGAGGAAATTAAAATTTTGTATTTGATCCTGTTACGCCACCTGGTGGTCATTTTACACACTCGAAAATAATTTCCAGTCCATTTCAGGTTTGATTCTTCAATCTTCTGATTCAACTTCCTCGATATCCTCGCTCTTCACCTTATCTTGATACCAGTTCCAATGAAATATTCGTCTGGTTTAAAATTCTCTAATACTCAAAGGACCTCTACTGTCTTAATTTCGTAGTTGACTGACACCATACACAAGAGTGGTCTTCATGGGCTCTGATTCGAGACTAATCCCGTTCTTCACTTTAGCAACACAGTGGCGGTGTTTAAAAATAAGTAATTTGAACTGGTGCCTAAGATACACCGACGAAAAGTGGTCATTATCTAAACTTGGTAACCAGGCATGTATAGAGCTTCGTGAGGCCAAACACAAAAGAGAATGATTAATTTTCCCCTCAGCTTCCCCGTCCGAGTCTTCGTTAGTGCGATTTGTTTTAATTATCGGTACAACAATAATTGAGAGATGTATTCGATTTTCGTTTGAAAACAAATTCAAACCTAAAATTCTAAGTATTTCTTATATCACGTAGAGCAATTAGCACATAATTGGGCTTCGTTCCTATTTCCATCGCGATAGGTCTAATCCAATGCAAAACGACGACGTAGACACAAATACGAGTTGAAATTGTGGTCGCAACGTCTACAGAAAACGATAATTGGGTAGCTGCGGATTGTGAATAATTTAATTGCTCATTATTCCCTATGTTTGAGAGTACGTTGCGAATTTAGTTTTGTGTTTTCACCGTGAATATGCCTTATACGACGACAACGACGACGGTGGTTTGCATGCACGTTAATTAATTTCGTCAATTCCCTTCCGTTTGAAAAAATAACGTTCGCGGGGGTGGGTATCATTTAATATATTTAGATGTAAAAGCGCTCCCCGTGATTCATATTAGTTTTGCGAGGTTGTATACAAACTCGACTGACGAGGGATGATCACAATGGAACCCGCATGGCACGACGATTCTCAATGGGACTTGTTGATATGAGCAGCCGATATTACTGTTCCCCACAATAGGAGGACGCGCCCTTCTCCGATCACCAGAAATATTTAATACGGCAATTTGTAAATGGAAACGGCCCTCTCGCAGATTATTATGTCATTAACGTCAATACGCAAGTCAATTCGCGAAGGAACAAGTTGTTAACCCAAAAAGTACACAACGCCTACTGCCCTCCACCACCATTACAAAATATTAGTAAATATCATCGTGAACGACACCATCACCAGAAAAAGATCTGGGTGGATACCTGTGGCAGCGAGCAGCGGCCCAAGTCGTCTCCAGTCACCGGGGCTGAACTCACCCATGGCCTTTCCGTCCAACTGGTATGGTGGAATTCCCATATGTGCGGGTGGCGGTTGCGACAATGGGTCACCGTTGTGACAAAAGAACGGTAATGCCGCTCCCGGATGCGTCGGTCCCAGACCCATTTTTCCGGCCTGAAAACAAAAGAAAAATTTACTCCCTCTCATAATAATCTTATTATCGCATATGCAGAAGAATTTCTCTTACTCTACGTGTATCTGTTAATTTTTTGTATGTCACATTATTTATTTGTAGTAGAATTTCAGTGTTTTACAATACCAATTGATTAAACCAAAATACTATGCTCGTATAGTGCAAAATACTGCAAATTCTCGCAAATGCACCAAATAAAATTTCTCCTACACAAAATGGTACGCGAAACACAACTTAGAATGAACCTTCAACGGTAGAAAACGCACCCAAATGGTACGTTTCGACGCGCGATCTGAAATAAGGCTCTTTCGCTCTCCCACTTCTTTCGCTATTTGAATATCGCCCAGTAGAAACACCGAAACGGGTCTTCCTTTTTAAGCAAAACGATCTCGACTAGCGTACCGTTTTAAACGAATACTAAACTTGCACTTTTGTTACGTGCTCGGAAGAGCGGAACAGAACTTTTAGGTTCCAAGAGACAAGTGACAATCGCGCTTGCTTTACGCAATACGTTTCTTGTTATCGTTGGCTATATCGCCAGACATATTTTCGTTGACGTTCGCTACAAAGCGGCACATGTGTAAATTTTCCTATACTGAACAAAATATGAATGTCTCCCAATATTCCCATGTGAGTTGTTACAATATTTCTCAAAGTAGTTTTGGAGTTTAATATTCAATGAACATATTTGGCGCTGATATTTTTTGTGGTCGATTATTTTTGGGAATTTGCACATTAATTTTGTTTGAAGTAATTTTAATATTCCTAAAGATATCAACCTATGAGCTCTTGCGGAAATGTTTAGATCCTTTTATTGTTTGGAAGATTTTAGACATTCTTTAAAGAAGAGAAGAAAGGCATTCTTAGTGAAAAATTTTAAAGGATTTCACTAGCTTAAAAACCCTCCAAAAGGTCTTCATCAAGAATTCTTTAGAGACCATTTAAAGATATTGGTGTGTAAAACAACGTCAGGTTGACGTTTTTAGGGTGGAATAATGCCGAAGGTAAGGACGGTATGTGTAATATTTTAATTTAGTTTAAATCTGAAGGATTACAATCACAAATAAGCATGGAATTGGTTTATTTTATCGGAATTTGTTATCTTGGTATTTAGCTGCCCATTTTAGCTATGTTTTTTGTTTAAATTTTATTCTTTGGGTATGTTTGTTATTTAAATTATAAGATGTAAAATTACGCATTTAAGTACTATCTCGTCGTTTTGTGATAAGAAATGTCATTGGGTCTAATTAAATTGTGCATTAATTTTAGCGTAAGTGGGAACGTGCGTCTCGGTCTGTTTTGTTGATCTGTTGAAATTGGCAGAAGTCGAAATCTAATGAAGTGTGGTTTACCTTAAATAGCAAAAATATGGAAAAAAAAGCGAGCAGGTTAGCCTAAAGCGGCTGTTCAAGCCACGAAGGGTCAAAGAGTGTGTGTTCCTTGGTACGCTAATTTTACGAAGTAATCGGTATCCCTGTTTGCTTAAACACGCAGTTTCGTCGATATTCGATTAATCAGTGCACAAGCAATTGAAGTTAAAGTCCTGCGAGAAGTCAATGTGGTCTGCCAGTTTACGGAAGAAGTAACGTTGTTGTCTAAAAAACAATTTACAGCGAGAGATTGTTAGAAGTTTCTTTGGCGTAATTAAAGTCAAAGTGGTTTCCCTTTTGAAAAGCCATCGCATTGAAAATTACTAATTGTGTCAATTTAGCCAGTGTGTTATTCCATATTAAGGGATTATTGTTTGAAAAACTGTCAGTGATTTTAAGACTTTCTTTGTGTATTTGTTCGACCACCTGCGTGCGGGGCGAATGTAACGGGCTCCCTTTCTTTAGGTGTTTCTTGGTTACTTTTTACGCGTATGAGTTTGAAATAAATGTTTTTGTCAATCAATTAATTTTGTGTTTATTTGAATCCATTTTACGATCCAGATAGAGCTTTCATGTTCAGATTTTTTTTTATTTGTGCCATAATTTACCTCAGGTGTTAAACAAAATGTGTGTAATTGATTTCTTTAGAATTTACGGAAATAAATTGAGGCTGCGTCTCTTAAATTATTAATTTCGAGCCATTATTCGGATTTTGATTTGTTGCAAATGCCGTAGATGTACGAGGAAAGACCATAAAAATTCGTACGCCATTGCAAACCGCATTATTTTTTAGCGCCCAACGTGGGGCCACAGCAATATATCTCCTAAGAAGTTCTTCACAGCAAGGGTTATTTATGTTTTACATATGGCGTTGTACGGTTATTATTTCCAATGCCTCCGATGGTTGCAAGGATTGCGAAATCTGTGAATTTTTGAACATGTCAAACCAAGGAAGGAAACGAGATCCTATAAGCTTGTCTAAGGTGTAATTTATTATTTATAATATATATTTACATTTTTCCCTTAAAAAACAAGCAATCCTTTAGACTGAAATAATACCGAAGATAATAACGAGTCACCCTGTATATGCGAATGTTTCAATTTAATTTAAATCTAGACGATTTCATGATGAATAAGCAGAATTAGTTTATTTCATGGGAATGTTTTCCATTTTAGAATTGATTTTAATTTCTGATTTAAATTTTATCATTCGTGTCAGTTTAATTTAAGTGTTATCTGATCGTGTGCGATAAGGACCTTGTTATCGTGCAAGTTAATAGATTTCAAGACGCACGTACGTTAGGCACTCATAACAAAGGCTGCCGATGCACGATTTCTTTTGCGCGTAACTTTGTTATCGAAGAGGAGGAAGAGCGGGCGTTACATTTGAATTTGACGGAAGTAAGAGTATGATGGTTTAGTGGAGGTGGTGTTATTTTAAATAGAAAAAAATAAGGTAAAAACACGGCTGTTGACCTCGCGACGGATAAAGAGTATCTGTACGCTAATTTTGTCAAATAATTGGCCTTTTTGGTTATTTGAAGACGCAGTTTCGGCGCAATCCAAATAATCTATGCAAATGCAGTTAAGTTCGTGCAAAGTTTAATGCGGTTTGTCCGGTTACGGAAGAAAAATACGTTGATTTTGGAAAAGAAGGTGTAGTGCATAACGAAACCGTTTTCAAACGTTATCTTATTAACGAATATCGAAAGGTTAAAGTGTTTACCGTCTGAACAGTCATATGAGCTCGAGTGTGACGAAGTTTCCTGATGCTGTCAACGAGTGTTTTTAACGGTCTTGTCCGTCTCCTCGTCTAACTCGAGAATGATGAGACCGCGATGTCAAACATTCGCCAATTGATTTCTACAAGTTCAAGGATCAAGTTCTATTGAATATGAGCCGGATTAAAACTTAGTCTGGTTTCCGAATGCGAGCTAAAAAAAAAATTCCCCTACTGAAAATCGTAAGCGATTCTTCGTATCTTGTTGTGTTAGTGCAAATCGTTGTTACGACCAGATTATGGATTATTAAAAAAACTGTAAGTAAGTCTAAGTTACTCCTTGTTAATTTATGATCGAACACCTACGTGTGGGGTAAAAATACGAATGGGCTTTATTTCAAGTTTTTCTTGATGATTTTCTGCGTATGTGTTTCGGAATAAATTTTTTTGCCATTGTCAGTCAATTAATTTGGTGTTTATTTCATTCACTGTACGACCCAGATAGAGTTCTCATGTTCAGATTTTCCTATGCAAAATAGTAATTATTACAGAATGAAATTATTGTTATGCAATATTGTATTTTTGTAATTAGGCTGCTTAGTTAAAACTACAAAAATATACAGGGCTATTGAAATTATGTTTTGTTGGACAGTCCTTGTGTATTGAATTCAATCAGTGACTACATTTTAGTCGATACAGATAAACACTAAAAATACTAAAATTTCATTTGAAACACCCCCCAACTAGGTCCCAATAAAATATCGTTTTGCATTGTGAAAAAAGAGAAAAGGCAAAATTTAAGAGGGTGGTTTTTTCATTACGTAGCGTTCAATAATAGACTGCATAAACGTTAGAAGTGGTCAATAAAGTTGCTTAAAAAGCGTATAAAAAAGCAAAAGAACGAGTGCCGCTAATTCAGAAGAATAGCTTTTAAATTAAGAGTAGCCATATTACATTTTAATGAAGTGGTACGCTTATGAATAATTATCAAAAGAAATTAATGGGTGTTAAATGATAACGCGTAAATGTGTTAAACGTTAATTTTTGATGTAGTATAAGTAATTAATTCCTTGTCGTCCTTTACCGAAGATTTTCTTGCATCCTCATCGTCGTGTATATATTTTTGCTCTCCCGCTATGCATAAGCGGAAAGAGAAAATTCTCAAGTGCGTCTGCGTTCATTTCTCTATTCCCGATGTTGCTATAGCGACGTACCTCCAGGACTAAAAGTCAGGAGGACTAGAACATGGAAATGACAACCTTGCTCTCGCTATACGCATTTTCATTTTAAACTGGCATTCTCTCGTCGGTGAAGTTTTTTCTTTTCTGACGTATAAATATCGAGCGCGCTTTTTAGCGAAATTAGTGGTCGTTTTTGTCTAAACAAGGCACTGCTGCAGTTATGAATAAACATCGACGGTGTATTTATTTACCCTCTTCAGCGTATCTGAATCCGCTTCCTGTGCACTACCTCTTATTTATTCATGACGCAAATTGCTGCTTGCATTTGTATATGATACCGAAGAGCCACGAATGCGGATATTGCAACCGAAGTCGGGAAGCTTGTGATAATTTTAATTAATCACTGATAGCGCCCAGACTTGGGAAAATGCGGAATACGTATTGCCTTATCATAATAATGCATGTGAAATATTAATGCGGTCATGCCACGATACCATCTCATTAACATCCTAACAATTGCAGAATGACAAAAGGCCCATAATGCCGTGTTTCAATTATTTGGTTTAAAAAAAAACGCACGCCATTTGCATTTATATTATCCTCGAGTATATACGCTTAAGAGGTTTATTATGTCGACAGGAATACGTATATCATATCGTCCTTTCCGTTTGACTGCTCGAGATTGAAATTGTATTTTTCGGACTGGAAAA